GGGCGACCGCTCCTGACCATAGGTCGGAGACCCGTTCGTGGCCGAGGCTCGCCGTGGCCAAACGGGCCCCTTCCCAGACCCCCGACGTCATGAATGTTCAGCGACGTCGACTCCATGCGGTCTGGACCCATTCCCCTGGACCGGTGTTTCATTCCGGGCCGTTATTGGACGGGCCCCAGGGCCGGTGAGGGCCCCCAGGGGCCGAGAGCAGCAAAGAGCTCCCCGTCGTGAGTTGTTGTCTGGGTCCTGCCTGCTTCGGGGCGCTTGTGTGGCAGCACGACGGCCGAGCTGCTGCCGGGGGGGGGCATGCCGTGGAGGGCCCCCGCGTGCGCGCCGAGAGGCGGCCACGACGCCTCCCCGAGGTGTGCCCGCGTCCCGCCGGGGGGACGGCGATGGCCCCCCGTCCCCCCGAGGCGCCAGGAGTGGGAGGGGCTCGGCGGGCGCAAGGTCTCGAAGTGCACGTGCAGCCAAGACGCTGGAATGGCCGTCTCTTGGGCTGCTCGTTTCCCCGAAGGAATGGGCCCCGCGAGGCTGTCCTGAAGAGCCCCCTGAGGCTCTCTTGTGGCTCCTGGGGCGTCTCGTGGGCCGTCAGGATGTCACGTGGGGCCGTCTTGAGCGCTCTTGGGGCAAGCTGGGCGCGTCTTGGGAACCTCCCGGGTGCCCAGGGGCTATCTTGGACGCTTTGGGAGCGACCTTGAGCCGTCTCGGGGCCTCGGGGGGCCGCTCGGAGAGCGCCTCGGGAGAGAGCTGCCTCGGGCCATGTCGCGGCTGTTCCTCCAGCCCTCCTCGTGCGCCCAGACACGTCTCTGAGCCACGAGATGGGGGGGCTGCGCTCCCCGTGCTGCGTTCCTTACCTCGGCAGCTCGACCGTAGGAGTGGCCCTTCGCCGGAGTGACCTCTGGCGCGGGCCACAGGGGTCCCTCCGGCACTGGCAGGCGCGCTTGACATTCGCCCCTCCCGCGGCCCCCTCAAGCCGCGCACCAAAGGTCACTCGCTGCCTAGGGTCCCTCCTTCGTGTGGGCGAAGGTCGGGGGCCCCCAAGCGGTGTGGTGGCCGCACCGCGTGGTGAGTCAGTGGGGAGTCGGGGTCACCCTCGGTCTTGGGGCTCGGGTCGTGCTCCGAGGACCTCTCGGGCGACCGGGGCCTCCAAGGTCCCAGCACCGTGCGGTGACGGACCGCGCAGTGAGATCTTTTGGGGGTTCGAGGTCACCGCGCGGTCCGTCATCGCCAGGGTTTGGGGCCCCGACGAAGGGGGAAGCTGAGGAGCAGTTAGCTTCCTGCGGAGGCTGCCAACAGAAACGTTCAGCTCTGCTCCCTCTGGATGTGCAGAAGCTGTTCAGTAGGCCGCCGCAGAGGAAGAAGAAACAGCACAGACACAGATTGCGATCGCCGCCGCGTCCCAACTGATGGGAAAGGGGACTCCACAAGCGAGCCCAGGCCACGCAAGCGCAAGGGGGGATAGGCTCATGGAGGGAGTTTTCGGAAGTTCTCGGGGCCCCTGGCGGTTTCCATCAGCTGCGCCTCGTCGAGAGCGTTCCAGGGGTGCCGGAAGCGTCCTGAACGGCTGCCAGAGGCCCGAGCCATTGCCCGAGAGCCAGGGGCAACGAACTAGCTGTGGATAGGCTCGGGAGGGGAAGCGTCGACCCCCGATCGCCTATTCATCGCCGGCAGGGGTCCGACAGCCCACCCTGCCCAGAAAGACTCTGCGTTGCTTCGCCATCGGGGGCCTTCCGCCGATCCATCGGTGATGTATCGCCGAGTCGGGGTCGATGTTTCCCCCCTGAGCCGGTCCCCCCCGCATCCCAGGCGGGGCTAGGACCGGGACACGTCGTTCCAGAGCCGGGAAGGTCTCAGAGCGCTGCGGAGCGACCGCGGGCGCCCGATGCTCATTCCCCAGGGCCGCGCCGATTTTTCAGGGCCCCATCTTGTCTTGTGTTTCGTTTTGACTTACCCATCGGTCGTTGAAGGTAGGTATCTTGGGATCCCAATCTTCCACCAATCTACTTTAAGCGCCTTCCAACTTATATGATCGAGTGGTTCACTTTCTCCGTTCTCTTTGGGGGGCGGGCGGACACCCAATCCTTTTTCAGCGCCTTCCTATTTCATGTTTCTATAACTTATCGCTTCGATCATTCCGCCGGCCCTGGAGCCCTCTGTAGGGCCTCTTGGGGACCTCTTGGGAGTCTCTTGGGGCTCCTTGGCGGCGTCTTGGGGCCCCCAGGGCCTCTTGGGGGGCTCTTGGGGGCCTCTTGGGGCGGGAGGGTGTGTAGTCGAATGCGGCTCCCCCCTCGGAGGCCACGATCCTCGTGAGGGGTGTCGAAAAATTGCCCGGTCTGGCATCTCTGACCCGGACCTGCCGGGACCTGGCCGGGGTACTTTTCGCCCGGAGGCCCCCAGGGGCCGCCCCGCGCGCGCGAAGTAGAATATTGTTGACCAGTTACCGAGATCTTACCACGCCTCTGGCCCGTTAGGCCGGCGAATCCTTCTTCCGGCCAGTGGGTAGTCCCGTATTCCCCAGAACCGCCCTTTTTTTTCCGGGCCCCATCTTGTCTTGGTCTTAGTTTTGCCTCATCGTTGCCCCTCAAAAGTGTGGCAGCGTTGTTGCCAGAGTTGGCCGCCGCGAGGTGTGGCTGCCAAGCTTGGCAACCGCGCGCCGCCCACTTGTCTCTGGCGCTCATGCGGGCCTCCCTCCTCCTCGGCTTCTCAGTGTTGCGCGGTGGCGGCTGCCCTGTCGAGATGCCGTGCAGCTCTCGTTGAGAGGGGCTTCTTGGAACAGACAGATGCGAACTGCTGCTCATCGTCCGCCCTGTGATCTCGGCCTCTGGGGACCTCTTTCCTCGGAGTCCGGAGCCGTTGTGAGAGCGGCCCGCGGCGCGCAGAGCTGGGCATCGAGGGGGGGTGCTTGAGATCTGGCGTTGCAGCATACTTGTCACCACCCACCAAACCACCCCAACCCAACCCGAAGAACTCGATTTGCCCTCCATTTCCAGTTGGGGGGCGGTTGGGGAACACTGAAAAAAACATGGAACCCGTACCCCCCCCAACCCGAAACTCGGGTCAAATTCGGGTCTTCGGGTTGGGTTGGGGTGGTCTGGTAGGTAGTCAGAAGCACGACTGGATTCCCAGATGCCCCATCTTTCGGCGCCATCTTTCGAGCTCGATCGCTCTGTGAGGATCATGGGGCCCGAAGCTGGGCAGAAACGCCCGCCGTGAACAAAATTGCAACGCCAGGATTTGAGGGACGGGGTCGCGCGCCTAGGGTTCAGTCGGGCACGTCCCTCTGCACGAGGAGTATTCACAAAGAGTACAGAAATAGTATGGGGACGACGTTTCGATTAGGTTTTGACTAGTTTAGAATACGTTTTGACAATTTTCGAACAGTTTTCCTCCAAAATCTGCCTGTAGGGTGAAGGGGGGCGTGCCCGACCTGAGCCTGGGGGGGGGGAGCACGCCGCGCACGCCGTGGAAGAGGCCCACCGCGTCGGAGAGAGGTCCTTTCCCTTGAGGCCTCTCCGCGCCTGGGAAGTCCCCCGTGGGGGGTCGAGTCCAGCCCAGTGGCTAAGACGGCGCACGTCTGCAGAAACGCCCAGAGCGGTCGTCAACTCGGCCCCGACCCCAAGTCAGCTGTACGGGGCACGCCGCGCACGCCGTGGCCTATAGGCCCACCGCTGCCTTTCCTGTTGGCCCCCCCCCCTGCGCCCGGGAGAAGCCCCCCGATGTGGGGGGGCACGGTCGGGGCGGCCACGGCGTCCGAGGATGCCTGCTCTTCGCTTGTTCTATGATGTTACAACCTCCTTCCCTCCTTCCCTCCTTCCCTCCTTCCCTTCTTCCCTTCTCCTCCCCCTCCTCACCTAAACTGAAAGGTTTTCACGTGTCGGGCTCTGGGAGGCGATACTCGTTTGACACTGTTTCGATACTTTTCGGGGTGCTCGAAGTTATTTCTGGGAGGTGGTCCTTAAGTACGATGCGAGCAACAGAACGCCTGTTGCAGATCCAGGCCTCCCAGATGGGGTACGAGGAGGTGGGGTCAGAGGATCGCGCCGCGTCGGCAGCGCGCCTCCCCCTCTCTCGCTCCCTCTCGCTCTTTGGCGCCGGCTGGAGGTCTGAGGTGGCTCAGCACTTGTTCTGGTGAGCAGTGAGCAGGGGGAAGGAAAGGAAGAGGTTTGAGGCGCTTGGTTCGGACAGTTTTTGTTGCTGCCTCTTTCGGTCTCTGGGGGCCGTTTTCGGGCCCTGGGACCGTCAAGAACAGATCTGGGGTGAACATCAGCATCTGACGGGCCCCGGGAGGGGTCCGGGGAGCGATTTTGAGCGGAGTTACTTTCATCCCCTCTTGATTTTCGGGGCCCATCCAGTTCAGGTCCCCCAGCCGCCTCCAACTATCTCTCTATTCCTCTTCCCTTGCCTCTTCTTCGTCGGACTGTTCTAGCGTGGTTGGGTCCAAGGAAGTCCCCATACAGAAACAAACGCGTCGCGTCGCCGATGCATCAGCGTTGCGGCGCGATGTGGAGGCCGACACTCTTCACGCCGACGTCGCCGATGCAGCGCCGACGTCGCCGACGCATCGCCGATGCACCGCCGATGCATCGGCGATGCGACGTGATCCTCCGACCCCGTCCGAGAGGCCTCTAAGGAACTAGAAGTCCGCGGCGGACAGACCTCCCGGCCTCCTCCCTGGGGGGCCCGGATGCGTAGTTGATGGCCCCCAGGGCCGATGGGTTCGGGAGCGGCATCTCATCTGGACGGCGTGAGCGCGCCGTTGCGTCAGGATGGAACGAGTCGGCATCGGAGGTCCGGAGGAGTCACACCGTGGGCACATGCAGTCCACGATTACGCACGGTGAGGGCATTGGATAAGGAATCGCTGGACGAGGAAACCAGGGTCTGGAAGCTGGCTGATTTCCAATTGTGAACTGGACATGAATATCACCGCCGCCCTCATAAGATAAGGAACCCAGGGTCTGAAGCCTCCTGGGCACCGTCCTTAACGAACGCCCCCACCGTAGCCATTTTGGCTCAGGGAGTCTCCTCGCTGGCCCATTTGCGGTGCAGGCGGGCACTCCGGGCGGTGCGCAGCAGGGCGACATGGGGGACGAGAGCGCGTCTCAGCCTCTCACGGACGAGGTCCTCTGTGAGTGCCTGTCGCAGATAAAACAGTCGGCGGACGGCCGATTTGCATACGCCAGGTTGGACTGCTCCAACAAGGAGCTCACCGATCTGGGCAGCAAGGTTGGGGACTACAAGCAGTTGCAGCACATTGTGCTCTCGTCTAACAGGCTCACCGAGGTGACTGCGGTCACGAAGCTGCCTTACCTTCTGTCGCTGGAGATTGACAGCAACGACATCACATCCTTGAAGTGCATGCAGACGGCCGAACTGCCTTGGTGTCAGAAGCTGAACCTGTCCTCGAATAAGCTTGACGCGGTATTGCCACTGGCTACCCTGACCTCTCTCAGGTTCTTGAACTTGTCGGCGAATGCCATAACGTCTCTGGAGGGCTTCGGTGGTCATCAGACTATGGAGCAGCTCGAGCTCCAGGGAAACCAGCTAACCAATCTCAAGGGCATGGGCGAGCTGGGGAGCCTGAAGGCGCTGAACATTTCCGGCAACCAGTTGACCTCGCTCGAGGGGCTGACCACACCGCGCCTGGAGAGCCTGGATGCCAGCAGCAATCAGCTGGCCAGCCTGGAGTATGTAGGGGGGGCACCGCTGCTGACCGCCCTGAACCTCCAGGGGAATCAGTTCGACGCGGAGGACCCTCAGCTTCCAGAGCTCAGGCGCCTGGGCACCGACACGCCGCGGCTTCAGTCGCTGCAGCTCTCGGGCACCCCGATGGCGGACACGTGCGGCGACAACACGAAGGTCGAGGCGCTGGTGTGCGCCCCGTCGCTGCGCCAGGTCGACGACGAGGACGTCACCAGGGAGGACCGGGACGCGGCTAGGGACCGGGCCCAGGAGCTCGTGGAGATGAAGCTGCAGAAGGAGAGGGAGGAGGCCGAGGCGCGCGAGCAGGCGGAGCGAGAGGCGGCGGAGGCGGCGGAGGCGGCGGCAGCAGAGGCGGCGGAGGCGGCGGAGGCAGCGGCGGCGGAGGCGGCGGAGCGCGAGGCGGCGGAGCGCGAGGCGGCGGCGGCGGAGGCGGGGGCGGCGGCCGCTGTCGAGGGCGGCGGCGAGGACGGCGAGGACGAGAGTTGAGCGGACGCTGATCGCGCAGACCTGTCGCAGACCCGCCTTCCCAACAGAACAGCAAAAACAGATGGCAAGCAGTCTAAGCAGAGCTCCCGGGCTGGAAGGTCGGACGCGGCGCTCCAGAGGGCCTTGGCGTCGATAAGACAACAGGGATGACCCATCGCTCTTCGGCGGGCGGGGAGACCTGCGGAAGCCGTGCGTTCGAATTGAAACGAGGGCGGCTTCGCTGGCAGAAGCTCGGCAGAGGGCGGCGGAATTCAGCACCATTCAAGCCCAGACTTTCTCGCGTCGTTAAAAACACGACGGGCAATTTTTGGCCGTCTCCGAATTCTGGGGACCCTGATTGGGCCTGGGGACCGTCAGAACGACTCAGGGTGGAAAACCTTGTCTCGAAGTCGTGGTCTGAACCTTAACGTTCCACGCTGCCAGAAAATCGTGACGTCGGAGGTCAGGGCAGGGGGCCCTGCTGGAAAGGCGTCCTGAGGTGTTCCGCCGCTTTCGGCCGCCTGGCGCCCTCCCCAGGCTCCCCGGCCGCCAGGGAGGCGACCAAGGATAGAAAGCCAGTGCCTGCGGGAAGGGGTCGGAAGAGGTCTGGGGGCCAGCGACCAGAACGAGTCGAGTCGTCGGAGGGCGGGGGTCCCCAAGAGAGGCCTGCACCACCCTGCCCAGGCGTTCCGTGAAACTACAAAGAGCTCTGGAGCTGTGATTGCGCAGTCTTTTCCTCGGCCTGGCACTGGAGCGTGTCGGATGACTTGTGGACTCTGGCCTAGCTAGGCCAGCACCACCCTGCCCAGGGGTTCCAGAGACGGCCGGGCCGGGTGTCCGCGACCCGCGCCGGTGTGGTTCCGTTATGGCCCTCCTCCTCTGCTCCGCAGGGGCAGCGAGAGGGGATGACAGCCTCACGGGGGGGACGCAGCGACCCCCGACCGCCCAGGCATCGCCGAGAAGGGCCCGTTAGCCCCAACCCGCCAAGGCATCGCCCAGGAACGCGCGGATTCGCTATCTTGAGAGCGAAAGAAGGACGTACACGTACATGAATCCATGCTGGTTTCGAGAGTTCGTGTTGCGCGAATGTTCGCATCACGCGGCAAGTCTCGCGGGTCATGGGGCCATGTTCATGTACATAGTACATAGTTGGGCGCGTACGTCCTTTGTGGGCTCCCTACTATCGGGAGCCTATCGCCGATCTATGGGCGATGGATCGCCGATTCCAGGTTGATGCTTCCCCCCTTTGCCAGGCCAGGCTCCCCTTGTCGTTGCCCTCTATGTGGGGCCTGCTTCCTGGGGACGGTCGAGGGGGCAGCATTTTCCCGCGTGTTCCCTGACACTCTGGGCCCTCTTCCCCCGCCGCCCCCGCCGCCAGAAGTTTCGGGAAGCCTCCAGGAGCCTCTGTTCGGCCACGCGCAGAAGAGGGGTAGGTCGAGGGGGGAAGGCTGCTTAGAAGCACCCCTGCTTCTTAGAAGGCGCGGGCCTTACCTATAGACGTAAGGCCGGGGCCTTCTAAGAAGCAGGGTGCTTCGAAGAAGCCTCCCCCCCTCCCCACACCCCCTCTGCGCGCCGCCAATCTGGATCGGGGGTGGACAGAACCCCCAACAGTGACACGTCGATTAGTGAATTGTCCGTTTTCGGTTCTCGAGAGGGCGCGGTGGCCGTTATTTTCCAGGCTTGCGCCCGCCAGGTTTGGGCCTCAGGTCGTTTTCACTAAACCACGTTTTACTAAAGGGGGGTCTGTCCATCCCCGACTGGAGCGTTTCCCACGTCCGTCCGAGCGCGTCCGACAGGATTCGGAGGGCCACCGAAAAACCCGCGAGGGCCTCCCCTTCCTGCCCTCCTGCATCCCTTCGTGCCCCTCCCCTTTGTCCCCTCCGCGCTCCCTCCTCCTCCTCCTCCTCCTCCTCCTCCTCCTCCTCCTCCTCCTCCTCCTCCTCCTCTCCTCCTCCTCCTCCTCCTCTCCTCCTCCTCCTCCTCCTCCTCCTCCTCCTCCTTTTCCTCCTTTTCCTCCTCCTCCTCCTCCTCCTTTTCCTCCTTTTCCTCCTCCTCCTCCTCCTCCTCCTCTTCCTCGTCATCCTCCTGCACCTCCTCCTCCTCCTCCTTTTCTTCCCCGAGGGTAGCGCGCGCACGTCCGTGCACGCACCGCTGACTAGGGGCCCAGGGCCACCACTGAGGTGCGCACCTTAGCCCCCTTCACGTGAGGGACGTAGCCCCCCTCCATGGCCCTTATGGCCCGAGCCCCGTGGACCCCTGGCTTTGTGCAGGGTCGGGACAAATATTTGAGCTGCACAGACGTGGCAGCTCCGCAGCCCTGGCACCCGACCACCGCAAAGTGGTGGCGGTCGAGCGCCTGATCCGTCACAAAACGCACAAGCTTGTGGCCATTGAGTCCGTCAGCAATGATCCGACGGTTGGCCTCCACGGCCCGCGACACGACGGCACCAGGGCACTCCGCCTTCGAGGGCGAACGAACACGGCACCGCATGCACCACCTGGCCCCCTCGGGGCCGATCAGCTCGTGGCCAAGCTTGGGAAACACCAACTGCAACACAGGCGCCTTGTTGGGCCTGGCGCCAGGCCTCAACAGAACGGTATCTTGAGAATTCACGGAGGCCCCAGCTCGCACAATGAAATGAGCCACGTCCTCGACCAGAACTTGCGCGAGCTGGAATCTCTCTCGATCTGCTGCCGCCAGCCTACTTCGGTTGGCCGCGAACTTCGCCCAGATGTCGCCCGCAAAATTCCCGAACCGATCGCGGCGAGAAATCCGTCCGCTCTCGACGTCAGCTTCGGAAAGATGAGCACGGACCCTCCGAACCTGGAGCCCCTGGGGCTCAATCCCTCCGAAGTCCTCCAGGGCGGCCCAGAAAACACGCCAGAGTTCGGCCCAAGCCGCAGAATAGGTCGTCGTCCCTTGAGGACTTCGAGTCCGTGACCGCACAGATGGGCGGAACAGAGACTCGCAACAACTTGACAAGTGCAAACAACTCTGCACCATCGATGTCACGATGGGCGAACGGCAACCTGCCGTGCACCACATCGCTGATTCCCAGCGGGTCAGCTTCATGCAAAACCACAATCGCCCACCCCGCCGAACTCACGCCGACCCACCCCCCATCGAATAGCGAGCCGTCCAAGAAGGCTTCGCGGGCGCACAGGATGCCGCCTCCAGCGTGCATCTGCCACGTCTCGCAATCATCACCGGGGACTTTGAATGAGTCTGGCGCGGGGGGCGATGGCCACAGCCCGCGCTCTAGCAGGCACTCCACCTGCGGGCGCGGCAGCCTCGCGAGCAACATCTGAAACCTGTCGGGCATGGGGGGGCGCTCGCCTACCGCAAGCTCCCCCTGACACTCGCAGTGGCGGTGGACCAGGGGCCCGATCCTAGGGCAGAGGAGACAACCAGACGACGCTACGTATCCAGCTTCGCGCTTCCTCGCCATCGGCCACTGCCCATTAATCAACGCACTCCTAAGATACGCACGCTCCTGCAAGGCCAAACTGCCGAGGTCCCTACACTGGTGGCTCTGGGGCCGCGAACCTTTCAGAAGCCGAAGTAGAGGCGCCGTCGCAGCACCTTTGCCCAGATGTTCGCACCCTTCAGCACCAGCAATCTTGGCCCACTGCCAGGCCTCAATCCCGCGGACCAGGAGTTTCCGGAGGTACCAGGCCGAGACGCCCCGAATATCCACAGATATTCCATTGTGCGCAACCCAGGTGAGCACATCATGGTGCGAGAACTTCCAGGAGATCCGATCGAAGGGGCAGCTTGACGGCCCCTAAGGCCCCTGGACCTGGGACCACATCTGAACCTTCTTGGCCCCCAGGAGCCCGTCCGGCACGACCTTCACGGGGATCCAAGCTTTCCACAGAGCACGCGCGAGAGCAAGGACTGGGAACAGTGTGGCCCGAAAAATCGGATCGAGCTCCTTGCCCAGCATGAGCGCCATCGTCCTGGACTTACCTGCACCCTGCCTCTCGATCGCCGAAAACATGAGACTTCGAATCTAATCCAGCACCGTAGCCGAGGTACCTGTCACCGAAGCCCCACGAGAAACACCTGCCTCCATTCCTGCACGCGCCACAAGCTGAGCCGCCACTCTCTTACGGGATCCACGACAAAATCTCCGAAGGCGACGTATTTTCGACCGCGCCGAACGAAGCCGTTCATGTCTGACCCGTCGAAGCACACGACGCCCACAGGTTAAATCAACCCCGAGGTTTCTTTCATGTCTGGACGCCAGGGCCCCGATGCGACCAAGTTGCCGAGCGATAACCGCATGCCGATGATAATAAAGGGACCCCCCCCCTTCAGTGTTTAGAGTTGATTATCGTCGCCCTATACAAAATTCAAATTGGGCGGCGAGCGCTGAGGCCGAACTTCATTATCACCTCGAAACGCTATGTTGAGATAGCAACATCAAGCGATGTTGCTATCCCCGCGCGCGCCTGAACTTTTTCATCTCTGGGGTTGATTATCCATGGAAAGGGGAGCACATGAGCTACCCTACATGAGCACTTAAAAAATCAATGCTCATAAAGCGTTTGTAAATTAAAATGGATAGATTTGGAACTTTCCATTTTTCCGTTCTGCTTCTCTTCTTATTCTTCTCTTCGTCTTCTCTTCTTATTATTATTATACTTTCCTCTTCTTATTTTATATTTCTATCTGTCCTCACGCTCGCCTGAACTTTTTTTATCCCTGGGGTTGATTATCCATGGAAAATGAAGCGCATGAGCTACCCTACACGAGCACTAAAAAACAATAATTTTCATACAACGCTTGTAAATTAAAATTGATAGATTTGGAACTTTGGATTTTTCCTTTCTTCGTCCTCTTCTTAGTATCCTCTTCTTCTTCTTTCTTATTATTCTTCTACTGTATTCTTCTTCTTTTATATTTCTCTCTGTCCCCACGCCCGCCTGAACTTTTTTATCCCTGGGGTTGATTATCCATGGAAATTGAGGCACATGAGCTACCCCACACGAGCACTTACAAAAAAAATCCATAAAGCGCTTGTAAACAAAATCTAATAGATTTGAAACTCGAGTTTTTTCTTCTCTTCGTCCTTCTCCCCCTCATATCATTTCTTTTAATTCATTCTTTATTATTTTTATTTTTCTTTTTTATATATAGCTTCCTCCATTCCAGCGGGATGAGCCATTGTTGAGGTTATTCCTATGAAAACTAAACGCCAAGGATGTCTCAAAACGTGCTCGGCTTGGTCTCCTCTTGGTCATCTCTTACTTCGAGATTATGCTGAGGTCTGCTGGGCTACTTTTATTATCTCTCCCTGAACCCCGAACTTTATTATCCCCTAGTGTTTATTATCACGGGCATGAGGTTATCCGAACGCACCTCGCTGCTGTTGGACATCACGCGCGTCTTGTCATCATGTAGCTGTAGTTGGCACGCATCCTGTTCACGTTGCAGCGCCTTAGATGCCTGAACTATTTCTCGAGTGACGACCTTACCCGCGCCATTTCTATGAAGAATAATATCATCAACCACCACAAACGGAGCCACCGACCGTCCGAATGACCATGTTCGATCGAGAGGTTGGAGTAGGGCAAGCTCGAGGAAAGTGGTGGCCCATCCGTCGCCAGGCAAGATGGTCTGATCGACTTGCAGCTCGTCCGAGACTACGGTGCCGAGCGCGAGGAACCTCGGCGCTCTGCACAATAGAACCTGGAGCCGCAACTGCCAGAGGGGGAATCCTGCTCTCAACGCCGCCTCCAGGAGCCAATGGTGCTGAACCTGTTCGAATGCTTTCAGGAGGTCCATCATCACCTGGGCCGACGTCCGTAGGCCCGCCTGGGCCCCTTTGCCTTTCGCCGTGGTCCATTCGGACCACGCCGACTGTTGCCACACGGCCCGCTCGCACGATTTCCCAGGGGCAGCCCAGAAATAATGCCGAGATTTCTTCACCTCCCACTCTCTCGCGATGGGCAATCCCAATCTGGCTTGGACCCTGGCGACGACATGGAGCAGCGCGATGGGGCGGACCCCGCCCAATAGCTTGGCCAAAAACGCAACCTTCGTAACCGGCATCGGTTTCGGCCGCGGCCTCGACGGCCGTGATCAGGTCGATCAAACATTCGACCGCGGAGTCGCACAACTCGCGTAGCTGCCTCGGCCTGACGGCGCAGAACCCCATTCCAGACATGGCCTTGAAGGACCTCAGGACCCTGCGCATGTAGTCGAGCGTCGGCCGAGGGGGCCTCCCCCCAAGATCCACAGGCCAGCTAAGTATGGGATGCTTCTCCCCCAGCTTCCACCAGCGACCCAAATTTTCTGCAACTTGTCAACCTCTTGCTGCTTATTGAGGGGCTTGGTGGGGTCCTCAGGGTCCATGGAGCTACTCTGCCAGCCTTGGGGGCCCTTGGAAAGCGCGCGGAGCCCACCAGCACCTCCCGCAGATTGTTCCGAGACCCACCTCCTGAATTTAGCAGCACGCCGTTGCAAATCACGTCGGGCCACGCGTGAGGCCCCTCTCTTGATCTCCTGACTCATGACGTAGACCACCTTCGGGTCCAGGTCCCAGACGGGGAGGAAGGTAACCAGGGCCCACCAGAGGTTGCCAATGGGAGGACCACCCAGTCGAACACATCCAGGAACATCCCGAAACAATTTGCCCGCCGCTCGAAGCGCATTGACCCGTGCAATTGGTTGCCCCACCGGAGAGGCAAACGACATCGATGCACCCAACTTCCGCAACCAGATGGCCTCGGCGGACACCTTCGGGAACTTCGGCGGCAGGGGGGGCTGAGAGCGAACCCACTTAGGACGAGGAAGCTGCGCT